GAAAGAAACCCGCATCCTTTTGGTGCCTGGAATGACTTTCCAACCCACTGACCCACGCAGCCAGGGCAGAATTTCAGGTATTTGAAAGACAGAGTGATAACTCTGTAGAGAGCACACATTTATGTGGCGATCATTCCTTTTTATGGATGTTTTAGAAGGGAGGGCTGCCAAGTGAGGGCTCATCTCCTAAGAACTCTGCATGCTGTGCTGTAACCATGCCTCCTGGACCCACACCCTGCCTCAGTGGTCAGTGGTGATGATGAATGCTGCTGGCGACATGATTTTCAGAAAGAACAATGAAAACAGACTCTGTTTGTTGTCCTGTGGACTGGTTCCAAGAAATATTTTTGTCTCTGGATGATCAAAGCATGGTCTGATAGGCTAAGAATGCAATAATTGATATAACTGGTCAATGATTTTTCAGCAAAAAAAGTTACTAGTGACTATTTACTAACTCCTTTTCATGCTAATGTTTTTGGGGGAAAATAAGTTTTGAGGCTTAATTATTTTTCAATGTTAGAGCTATTTCTGGCTTTAGTTGTTGGGATAACATAAAGGAGATGGTGCTTAGGTTACGTCCTCAGAGGATCCTGTGAGGTGGCTGGTACAACCTGTGTGTGGCTTCTGGCATCTCTGTTCAAGTTGCCCAGAGTGACCTTCCCCTGAGGCTCAAAGCCAAACAAAGGGCAAGGGGAGGGGAGTTGCCTGCGATTTATAGATTCCATTATCGGTTTGCAGGAAAAGAGATTCAAAACACCTGTCATGTCTCATGATCCAAAAGCAACACAGCTAAACCAAACCTGGGGCAGCAATGACCAACTTACCGGGCAAGAAAATGCAGCAAGTGCCTGCACGTGGGCCCTTCCCAAGCCCCAAAGACTAGCTTATGAAGATCTCTAAAATGTGAGTCACTGCCTTCCTGTTAACATTAGCTACCTAAGAATTCTTTTCTCTTTTGTCACCAGGAGGGAAGGAATTCTTTTTCTTTGTTGGCCCAATAGGAGAGAAGACTGGAAGATTCCTATTTTCTAAACTGTGGGCTGTGGCAGATGGTGGTTTGGGAATGAGGGGGATATTCCAGCATCCTGGATTGCAGGTTGAAATGTCACCGCTTTCCTGTAGGAAAAGTAGGGAACTAGAATTCTTTGGTGCAGCTATGTGGGGGTTCGTAGACTTGCAAGGCCTGCTTGAAACCCGACCACTATTTCAAATTTTTAAAATTTATTTTTAATTATAGTTGACATACAATATTATATTAGTCAGATTATAACATTGATCAGACATTTACATAACCTCTAGTGGGATCAACACAATGAATCTGGTCCCCACCTGTCACCATACATAGTGACTAAAATATTATTGACTATGTTCCTTATGCTGTACTCTACATCCCATGACTAATTTTTTCACTTGCAGTTTGTACTTTTTAATCTCCTTAACTTTTTTTTAATCCACCATTTTTAACATAGGTCCCCCAGGAATATTTGCTTCTAAGTTCCAAATGAATTCACGAATATTTATTTTGAGAGTAAAATGCAGCAGTTGGTAGATTGAGGACAACTTGAATTTGGATGTCTCCCTTGCTCATTCTCTCCCTGGGGAATAGTTTTTCTAGTATTCCCCAACTCTCTTTAGTGGGTATTTCTCTATCATTTCTTCTGTGGTGTTTTAAGTGCATTCATCATTAATCTTATAAGTTCTTACATCTGTGTCCCAAGTTTTTTGGGAAACTACTGTACCAGCAATGGAATAAAAGTTCTAAAACCAAAGTTAGAATTTCAGTGAGAAGATGTACTTTGGTAAGTGCAACAAACAGTGGTGAGGTATGTTAGCTTGCCACTTCTCAAGGCAAGAAAGGACACTGTTATCAATACATATGGGCCATTTCCTATATTTTCCAGGGTTCTGTTAGTTAGGCTGACAGTGGTGTTGCCAGGGCAGTGGGCGACAAATATCGTTAACACATAACAAATGACTGTGGTGGATGACACACCCCATTTGTCATTTGTGCTGCCTTTGTGTTTGGTTGGAATCTACCCAATGTCAAGCTCATGGAAGGAAAGTGCTCATTTAGGAAAAAATATATTTTCTTCTTTTATATGAACATTCCTTCAGGCTCTCTTCAACCAACCCAGCAAATGAATGAATGAATGAATGAATGAATTCCACAATGAGTAGTAAAGCCAAAACACCACCATTGATCATCCATACACAACTATCCTTGAAAATGTGAACCTGAAAGGGATTGAACGTTTTCCCCTCTTCTTGCCCCTGCATTGTGTAGCCTCCTCAGTCATTTCTTCTCTGGGAAGCAACCTAGACTAAGAATATGTCCAAAATATGTCCTTAAGCAAAGGAAATTTCAGAAGAGGTTTTCTGAAGCCTCCTGGTAATAAAAAAAAATCCCATTGATTTTGATGTACATATGGATCAGGACTTTTCTAGTGCATTCCTTGCCAGCATCACTGAATTCTTCAAGAAACTGGATTCAAATATTAGAAACACATCTATCAGTTTGCAAAGTTCTCACCATGGTTTTAATCAGTACTCTTTTTAGTTGCATGTAACAGAAACTCCAATTCATTCAAGGGGAAAAAATACAGTATGTTTGTTCACATAACAGTGAAGTCAATTGTTGAAGATAGTTGCAGGGACCAGGGGCTTGGAGTTTGGAACTGAACGCCACGACTTCAGGAACCTCTTCTTAGTATCACTCTTTTCTCATTAATTCCTGCTTGTCTCTGCTCATCTTCATTCTACAGAACATGCTGCTTTAGAACAGGGAAGATGGCCACAGACAGCCCCAAGGTTACTTTCAACAGTTCTTAGTTCAAGCACTATTTGAGAGAGCAAACTTTCCCTCTCATTTGGGAAGATCTCAGTAAAGAACGCATAGCAGCTGGCTTAGACTGCAGCTTCATCACGTGAACGAATCATCATTCTGGGGAGGGAGGCAGTAGTCACGGAATCGGCCCACCACCGCCCTGGGGTGGCTACTGCAGCCAAGTCGTGTGGAATGGCTGTATGTTTTACAATCCCAGTAGCAGAAGGAAGTTCACTAGAAGAAGGAGACTATTGGAGCTGGGAGGCAGATGGAAACGCTGCATACACAGTATATCAGATTATTACTGTTAAGAATTTGTATCCATTTGACGGTGAGGACAGGCAACATAAGAAGACACTCATACTGGGTAATTTGAACACATCTTAATAAAGGAACTCTTTACAAAGATGTGAGGAGGAGGTCAGGAACCACAGTGATGCAGTTCTCTGGTGCTAGTAGGAGCAAGGGCCTTACTGATCTGGGCCTTATCCATCTTAAGTCCAGTCAAGAGATGCAGCTCATTACCTCTCCCAGTGACTTTATGGAGGAATATGGGGAGCACATATTCCAGTGTGTTGCTGTTCCCTAGCTCCCATCTCCTGCTGATGCACCCTATTGGTTGAACCTATCTAGAAGCCAGAGAACAAAGGAATCCATTGATGGAGTCCTTACAGGTCAGCCTGCCAGTGCAGAGACCAGAGTGGAAAAGGGTGGAAATTCAAAGGGACAAACAGACACTTTCCAACACAGCCTCACACACACATACATTCAATATGATAGAAACAACCATGCAAATGAGTGTCTAATAAATATTATTATATATTATGTAATGGATAATAATTATAGCATATTACACAATGTATTATAATTATATTATTATGTATTGCATCTGTTGCTTGAAAAAAGTTCAGAGAGACAATGTGGTGTAATGAGAGCTTGCCGAGGCAGGCTAACTTGGATTTGAATCTGTGCTCTAATCTTGGTCACTTCCACTTTGTGCCTGCCAGCGCTGGGGTCAGCCAGAGCAGTTCTATCTGCAGACTAGATGTGTCAAAGCCCAATATTCTACAACTTCCACTACACCCAAACCAGCCACACTCAAATGGTTAGCTCCAATTAAAGTAGTGATATCATGGCTATCAAGCAGAATATAATTTGACTCATTTATTTTTATAGTTCTAAAATCTTTTTGGTGTTTTATACTGTCTGGGGTTTGCAGTTATGAACATCCATGATTACTGGAAAATGCTAAAAATTCTGCTTAACTATTGATAAGAAAAAAAACCTCATTAGTGGGACTAATTTTTTTCATGCAATCAGAAAGTTTTACTATTAATTAAGCCTTTAATCAATGGTTGGCTTCTAGTTTCTTTGAAGGAAGGCATGATGATGATGATGATGATGATGATGATGATGATGAAGAAATTAATGGAATACTATGTCTTCACACATGTTATTTTTCCAACAACTATGACTCAGTTACTATAATCTCTATTTACAGGTAAATAACCTGCAGTTCAGAGAGGGTTAATAAAAGAAGACCACACTTCTAATTAGCATTAAAACCCATTTTCAAATTCTGGTCTGTCTGGTTCCAATTCTTGTCCGGATGGCTATAGACTATTGACTCCGAAGAGACAGCTCTTCTGACCTATTATTTTAATTTTGGGTGAATACATTTACTTTATATTATTATGAAACAGCAAGCCATGGTTCATTTCACAATTATTTCTGATCATTTTTGTAATTGTTCTATTTTTATTAGTTGAAATATATATAATGTCAGATTACTAGAATAACTAGTATATTAAGGAAAAAAGTTTCTTTTAAAAATAAACATTATTTTCACCCTGGCTGATGTGGCTCAGTGGGTTGAGTGACAGCCTACAAATCAAAAGGTCACTAATTTGGTTCCCAGCCAGGGCACATGCCTGGGTTATGGGCCAGGTCCCTGGTTGGGGGCCTGTGAGAGACAGCCAGTTGATGTCTCTCTCACACATTGATGTTTCTATCCCCCTCTTTCTCCCTTCCCCTCTCTCTAAAAATAAAGAAATAAAACATTTTAAGAAAATAAACATTATTTTCACCCACAAATTGAATATTTCTCATTATTTAAAATGTAGAAAAATTGGGGTAAAATCTAGCTGTCCATTAAAAAAAGATGTCATGGCTGCTGTCCTTGGTCGTGGGGTCGTTTCTGGTACCGGGTCCGTAGCATTCAGGATGAATTTAATTCAGCTTGTGCGTGACCACTGGGTACATGTGCTTGTCCCTATGGGATTTGCTGTTGGATGGTACCTAGACAGAAGGAATGAAGAAAAGCTAACTGCCTTCCGGAACAAGAGTTTGTTATTTAAAAGGGAGCTGAGACCGAATGAAGAAGTCACCTGGAAGTAAAGGCTGGGCCTGAATTACAGAATGCTCACGTTTTTTAAATTATGAGAAAAATAAAAACATTTAATTTAAAAAAAAGATGTCATATAAATAATAATAATAAATACTTTAGACAGTTTTTCTTTGAAGAATTTTAAATAGAAAAATTAATGACTCTTTCTATTAGGAGAGTATTTTGTGTATATGTAGGGGGGTATTTCCTTCTTTGTTTTTTGACATAAAGTTTTTGTATCACTTTTATAAATTATCCTCATTATTTAATAAGCGTAAATACTTTCAATCAAGCTATATTAAGACTATAAAATCAAAATCTTTCCAGTTTTAAAATTGACCTAAAAATAATTTCTTCAATTAAAACAGACCTTATCATACTCAGAAGACCAAAGTTCACTCACTGCATGACTCATTTAAGACTTGATATTCAAGCATGATACAAAGAGATCTGTAATTACCTAGAAAAACCTCCTAAGTAACAGAGTGATGGTGATTAACATCTTGGGGGTGGGGAGAAACCCAGCTTAATTGAACTTAATTGAAGCATCATCGTCTCCAATAAACTCCCGAAACATGGACATGCAAAGCAGGTCTGCTGTGGTAGCAGGCAGGGGGCACTTTCATTTTCTTTCTCATTTACTGAAGAGAGCATGTAATCAGGAGTCTCAAGTCCATAATACACACCAAAGAAAAAACAGTCAAGGTGTCTCTGAAAATAGTATTTGAACACATCATGATTAAAATGGCAAAGGTTAAATACAAAGAGAATCTTACAAGCTGCGAGAGAAAAGCAGTTCGTTACTTATAAGGGAGTTCCCATAAGACTGTCAGCTGGTTTCTCAAAAGAAACTTTGCAGGTCAGAAGGGCTTGGCAAGAAATATTCAAAGTGATGAAAAGCAAGGACCTACAGCCAAGATTGCTCTACCCAGCAAAGCTATCATTTAGATCAAAGGGCAGATAAAATACTTTCCAGACAAGGTAAAGCTGAAGGAGTTCATCATCACCAAACCAGTATTATATGAAATGTAAAAGGTGTTCTTTAAGAAGAAGAAGAAGAAGAAGAAGAAGAAGAAGAAGAAAAATATGAACAGTAAAAAGGCAATAAATACAGATCTATCAACAGTTGAATCTAGAAAACAAAATAAACAAGCAGAACAGAAAAGAATCACAGATACAGGGAACATTTTGATGGTAGCTAGATGGGAGAAGGGTTGTGGGGGTGGAAAAAGGTGAAGGGATTAAGAAGTACAAATCGGTAGGTACAGAATAGTCAGGGGGGTATGGAGTACAGTTTAGGGAACATAGTAGCCGAAGAACTTACATGCATGGCCCGCGGACATGGACAACAGTGTGGGGATTGCCTGAGGGAGTGGGGGCTGTATGGAGGAAGGCAGGGAGGGAAACTGGGACAACTGTAGCAGCCTAAACAATAAAATATAATTTAAATTAAAAATAATTTTAAAACAGAAATAAATAAAAATAATGTTTGAGCCAGGGATGGGGGAGGGTGGGGAGGGGTAGAAGGAGAGACCTGGTGAGATAGGCATTTTCCAGTTACATCTAACCTTTACAATTTTATTTACTGTTTTTGCTTCAAATTTTAACTAGTAAGTAGAGGGGCTGGGGGAAACGGAATACACAGCATGGGAATAATCTTTGCTGATGAAGCTGTCAGCGTGTCGCATGTCTTATGTCATGATTCTTCTGTAGCCAGGAGCCCCAGCCTGCTCTGCAGTTCCAGAACAGTGTCCGGCCTCTAGTAGTTCCCACCAAACCATCCTTAAACTAAATGAGTTTATTGTCCTGAGCAACGAGCAGGAGTCCAGAGTAGAACATGATGACACTGGGTCTATATCAACTACTTGGTTTTCAGGGTGATGGGATCCGGGAGGTCCCCTGGTGTTGGGATCGTTCTGTCCCAAGTGTAGACAGTGCACCAGCTGAGAAACATCGGGTTTATGACTTATTCCCTATAAAATGCAAACACCTGTGGTGGAAGTGCTTCCTTAAGCTGCCCAGCACTTTTCATCTTTGGCTGAACGAATTTTTGAGAACTTTTCCTAAGCCTGGTGGTATTTAGCAGAGACTGAATAAGGGTGAGGAGGCCAAGAAAACGGAGGCGCGCGTGGGCAGGACAGCGAGGGAAAGAGCAGCAGGGAAAAGACAAACTTTATCCTTTTCCCTGTGCTGATGGAGCGGGTCACAACACAACACACACAGGACTCTGTTGCTACATCAGTACCTCCGACTGCTAAAGCAATTGTCATGTAAGATCCAACTGGACACAATAAAACATATTGATTTCTGTTCAAGAACACAAGATTTCTGCAGTTACTGTTTGGTTGGTAAATTGCATGGTTTTACCAGCCAGACCTCTACCATATATTTAAAGCACAGGTTTTGGAATACTGACTTTTATTTTTGGTTCTGCTTTAATTTGGTGTCCTATACAAGTCAATGCATGAAAATTGTCCCTATTTCTATTTCTGTGTCTATGTCCATCTACCCATCTATACATTGTTTAAAAAAAATTGGGATATCATTGTAAATTCATGCTTGGAGCCTACTTTTTTTTCTCACTAAATATAATATGAGCATATACTTATGTTACTAAGTAATCTTGAACATGGAATTTTAATTGCTGCATAGTATTCTATTTTATTGCTTTAGTACAATTGACTTAATACACCCTTTATTATAGAATATTTAGACTGTTACCACTTTTTAAAAATGATTATTAATAGTGTTGCAAGTAAATCTTGATTATTTATTTGTAATCAATTTCTGGAAATAAAATGGTGAATTAAGAAGGGCCTGAAATTTATTTAAGATCCATATAATGTGGGAATCTTGATTTTTCTGTCTTCTCTAGTTCAATCCCCATCGAGACTGAACACTTGGTCATTTAATGCCCCTGGTTTACATGAGCATTCTTTAAAAGCTGTGCTTCTACTGTAACTGAAGAAAAGAACCCATAAAGAAAAAAAAATCAAGCAACAGGAAGGGTAGTCTAAATCTGAGATTCACCCTTTCTCTGTGTATGTTTGTGTGTGTGTGACAGAGAGGGAGTTATTTTGTTTCATTTCCATGCCTAAGTAAATGACCGGAGGGTTAACCCAGTAAGAGCTTGGCAAACATGAAGGGACTCAAGACTGGAATTGGGATTTTGGGAATGATATTTGGTGATAAGCTGTAAGTGCTGACACATTATCTGCAAATAACATAGAATTTAGTCAAAAGTGCTTTAATGGCATTTTCATATATGTCAGTAATCTCATTGGTGGCAGTGAGAACAGCACCCACCAGGTGCTAGACCGGTGGGGTCAGACTGGACTGGACCTTGGTTCGGCAACCTCGGTACTTGAGTTCTGGCTGGGAAAGAATTCTGAGCTGAGACTCAAGCTGTAATTTATTTAGAAAGTCACAGAGGTAGAAAAAGTGAGTGGTAGAAGGAATAGGAGGCTCAGGAAACAAGCTACGGAGGCAAAAGAAGGCACCCTTTGAGCTTTGGAGAGAGAAGGGTAAAAGGTAGCAAGCTTGAGGGGGACGTGGAGGGGGACAGAACAGGAGTGTGCTGGGTCCCCCGTCCTAAGGGCTTTTAAAAGTGGGGGTTTTAGGGGAGATCCCAGGGGAGGGTGACAATAAAATATTCATTAGCTTTCCAGGTGTGTCCTTTCAGGTTTGTGGTCTCCACTGATTGGTCAGCCCCAGGGCAGGGAGTCACTGCAGTTGATTGAGGCATCACCCACCCGATTTGCTACTTTTCTGGGCCTGGAGGTGAAACACAACAGAGACCTAGATGTATTTTTTTTACAATCCTCACCTGAGTATATATTTATTAATTTTGTAGAGGGGGAAAGAGGGAGAGAGAGAGAGAGAGAGAGGGAAAGATCGATCAGTGGGAGAGAGAAACATCAATTGCTTTCAGTTACCTTCAACTATATGTGCCCCCAACCAGGGATGAACCTGGAGCCATCTGGTGCATGGGATGATGCTCCAGCCAGCTGAGCCACCTGGCCAGTATGAGGCCTAGATGTATCTGATGCAGGTCAGAACCTCCTCATCCTGGGGTCTTAGTGCTGAAGGGCTATTTTCTGGTCCTCTTCTTGGTTCCCTCTCTAGGGGGTCTAACCTGCATGACTAGCATCATGCCAGGGGAGGAAAGGTCAAGGGAGGGTCTAAACCACATGACCAGCCATATGAAAGGTCAAGAGGTCATAGCCAGTGTTATGCTAGGGGAGGACAGGTTAGCCTGAGGGAAAGGTCCTCCTTTTCCCAGTTGCTAGGCACCTGAGGCTTTCTATACAAGGCCCATGAACTTGCTCTGTTTGTGTTATCTTAACACCCACCACAATCGAATTATAATCCGAAAACTAGGTTGAAAGAACAATCCTGACTATTAAACTGGCAGGTAAATAATCAATTCAATTCAACAGCTTAAGTGCTTATAATGTATGAAATTAAACTTGTGGCTCTCCCTACCCACCCCCTTCAGTTTGTTTTAATAGTTTAAACTAGATTTAAATGTAGATTTTTGGTGTTTATTAATCACCTGGGAGATAGACTCAAAATGGTGTGATTTTTCCCTTTTAAATTGTGTGCCTAACTCTTGTCAATATTAATCATACTGTGTTTGCACATCAAAGTACAACTATGAAGAAACCATGCCTTGGGAGGTAAAATGCTACAGATTTCTCAGACACTTTCAGAAATCACCCATTTCTTTCATAGTTTGTTAATTCAGCGGAGTCCCTCATGTATCCTAAGTATAAACTATTGTAAACTTTTTGAGGGAAAAATGCTATGTTCCACGAGAAATCATCTTTTCTGAAGATTCTTTAGGCTTTGTTTAACAACCATAGCTCTGGGGAGCCGTCATATATTGGAGACATGTCAGTTTGCCACACACACCATCCTTCTCCATTCTAGAAAAAGTATGAAAACTAGGACAAGTTAATTTTAATTAACGTTCCCATAAATCTCTCCAGAGTGCCTTGTAATTTCCATTAATTTTAAAATGTTTCTGGAACCACAGGGGACAACGCTCCCCAGTTTAACTACATACTTACAAGTTAGTGCAGCA